CCTCTGGCATGTCTCCTCCATCTCCTGCAGGTACTTCTTCAACTCCCTGTTTAACTCTTCGTGATTCACCGACCCGAAAAGATTCCTGCACGCTGGCGGCTTCAGTTACTCCGACTGCCTGGCCTCCATGCGCTCCAGGGTAGGGTTCCCATTAGAAATACGGACGTTTGACATCTCCCCGCTCCCTCTCACTCCAGGCGGTGGTTGTTGTTGCTCACTGCTCTCCCTCCGCCGGCCACCACCACCGCCTGTCCGCTGCCCTTTATTTCCCGGCGCCCAGCGGGTAGACCTGGTGTCCCAGCTCAGTGGGTAGACCTGGTGTCCCAGCCCAGCGGGTAGACCTGGTACCCGAGCTTGGCGTGTAGACCTGGTGTCCCACTGGGTAGACCTGGTGTCTGTTTCCTACCAGGCAGACCTGGAACCTGTTTGCATAGGGAAGACCCGTTTTCCATGCCTTGCGGGAAGACCCGGTGACTGAATCATGCGGGTAGACCCGGCCTCTGCTTCCAACGGGAAGAACTGGTGTCTGTGTTCAAAGGGTAGGCCTGTTTTCCAGGCCCTGCGGGTAGACCTTGTGTCCGAGCCAAGCCGGCAGACTTGGTTTCTTTTTTCCTCTCCCTCCCAGCAGACAGACCTGATGTCGTTGTTTAAAAGGTAGACTGGGTCTCTGTTTTCAGAAGGTAGACTTGGTGTCTGTGTTTAAGGGGTAGACCTGGTGCCCGAGTCAGACAGGTAGACCTGGTCTGTGGTTTTAGCAGCAAGACCTGGTGTCTTTGTTTTAAGGGCAGATCTGCTCTCCATGCATTGCGGGTAGACCTGGTGCCCAAGCTTAATGGATAGACCTGGTCTCTCTTTTTAGCGGATAGACCTGGTCTCGATATTTAAGGGGTAGACCTGGTGTCCATGCCCTGCGGGTAGACCTGTTTCTCCTGTTTGGCAGGTAGATCTGGTGTCCGAATTTAGCCAGCAGACTAGAGTGTCATGTCTAGCCGGCTCCTCCGGGCCAGAAGGTCTACCCGCTTCCGAGCCCGGTCGTGGCCGGGGAGGGCGCCCGGGCCTAGCGGCGGCCCGGCAGAGGGCGGGCGCCCAGGCCTAGCCGGCTCCTCCGGGCTATCAGGTCTACCCGCTTCCGAGCCCGGCCGCTCCGGCCGCCGCCGCCGGGGACGGCGGCCTGACGTCTTCGCGGCCTCCCGTCAACGGGCGAGCAGGTCTACCCGGCTCCGGCGGGACTTGGGCTGCTGGCGGGCTTTCTCGGGGTAGACCTGCTCTCGCGGCCGGCCCCGGAAGTCGTGCAAGGGGTCGCTGTTGTGCGCCGCCTCCAGTTAGGTCATGGTAAAAGGCGGCGTGCTCTCGCGCGCCACCCCGGTGAGGTTCCTTGGGCCTTCTTGGAGGCGCGGCAGGCTCAGGACGCGTCTGTCCGTACTATGGGCAGGGGTTGCCGAGCAGCGCGGGTTCCGTGAGCACCGTTTCCCCGCGTCTGCTGCGAGGCGAGGCGAGGCGCGTACTCTCGCGCGGGCGAGGTGGCGTCCGGCACCCCACGAGCGGAAGGCGAGAGAGACAGAGAGTGTTGGAGCCGCGTGGCTCCGGGTCGGTTCTGCCGGGGCGGCCCGAGGCAGAGATCGAGAGCTCGAGTGGAAGGCACGAGGAGGCGAGCGAGCGAGCGAGAGCGGGACTGGGACCGGCCCAGGGGCACGCAGGGGCCCGCCAGCGTCCAGCCCGAGCCGGCGGCGGCTGCCGGCTCCCCGGGGGACTCGCGAGCACAGGGCGACGGCGGCGAGGCGGCGGCGCCTCGTCCTTTTTTGTGACCGGCCCTAAG